TCATATGTCTCTTTGGTCTCCTTTTCCTTTAGTTTCCCAGACAAGTTTTATTTTTAAGAAATTTAAGCCAGTCTCAGTCAAGCCAAAGAGAAAGGGGATTTTCCTCACCTTGGGCTAGCTAAGGGTCTCAGAGCTTAAGACAAGCCAGGAATAGTGAAGGCAGTGGGCCAGGGGCAGCCAGAGAAAGCACCTAAGGAGCAGAGAAATCTGAGATGACTGTAACTCCTGAGCCCTTATCATCCAGGATCTTGTCTCCTGTATCCTAAGGGGCACTGTGCCAGGCAGGAAGCCACATCCATAGCACAAGTACTCTGGAAGGAAACGGCCACTGTGGTCATGGGAGAATCTAAGGAGGAAAAATGGGAAGGTTGAATGGTGACTAGCCACTGGATTCCCGGTGTTATTTGTGCTGGGCCAAGACCTTTCCCTTGCTTGGTTGTTAACTTGGGGCAAGTCTCTTCTGGAAACATGACAAGAGGGCAATGTTGGCACTTGTTCCTTGCCCAGACTGAGCAGACTAGACAACACTTTTGGTGTTGGGCAGGAAGCTATAGAGAGGCAAGATGAAGCCTGAGCATGAGATGATTCTAAAAGAGTAGTGCTGAGGAAGGCTGAGTCTCATAGGCGCACCTGAAGGCCATGAGAAATGATGGAGTCTGAAATCTGAACAAGAAGAACAACTATTGTTTAATATTCTTAAAATACCAACAACATGTAAAATCAAAACTCATACCTTTTTTTTTTTTTCTGGCATTCTTTGCTGCTCAGCTCTCACATATTTGGTGTCACTCCTGTTAGGTATAAATGCCCTCAACAATTTGAGATAGGATAGAAAACTTCAGATTTAAAATATTTTCCTTGGAAAACAATATTTCACAGACTTCTTTAAATGAGAGGCAGTATAACACTGTGATTAGGAGTAACCACTCCCAGCCCTGTACTGCTTTGAGCTGGCTGAGCTGTGTCACTTGTCGAGGATGGCAGGAAATGATGCATGCCTCAAATAGAGTCATTATTCAAGACGGAAGGGGATCTACAGTATGGAAGTTATGATTAGGGAAGTAGAATTGGGGCAATTTCTGTGTTTTCCAGAGATCAGGGTTAGGTAATAACGCAGGGAATGTCCCCCGACCCTAAAACTCAAGGGGAAGGATTTCTCCACCAAACACCATTCCTAAGGCCATTAGGCCAGGGAGGGGAGAACAAAGTCCTTCCCTCTTGGGTGCCAGATTCTCACTCAAATTACGTTTTTCCGTCTGTCTTCCCAACTCAGATGGGTTCCTCCTAATATTTACAGACCCTGAGGATCCTACATTCAAGCTGCCGTCTTGGCCCTAAATTCTAGGCCCTTCTTCCTTGCTATTCCCCAGCCCCTGTACTCCAGATTGAGGCTATCAGCCTCCTGCCCCAGCAATTGGCCCCAAGGTCTCTGAATATCCTAGAGAATATACAACGAGGTTTTTCAGATTTCAGATATTTGACACTAATCAACAATCAAATGACCTTCATTAAGCCAAGCATATGAGCAAGTAGTCTGGCAAACATGAAAAGTTTATAAAATGTCGTAGCCCAAAGGATTCCAAACACAAGTAATGTAAGGATTCCATATATTTTAAGGAACAATCTTTTGAATGTATTAGCATTATGTTCTCTCTGAAAAAGATGTCCTATGGAGAGAAGATTCCAATTTAATAAAAACGACTATATTTGGATGTGTGGAAGTGGAGGAACCCAGGCTTGTGAGCAGGTTTACTCAAGAACCCTGTGCCACCCATACCGATGCCAATACTAATGCCAGGGTGTTGCCTGGATGTGGCAGCTGGAGCTAGCTCCTTGAAGCCCGTACATGGCTTTGTTTGTTCTACCTGCAACCAGCCCTCTCTAACATGCCCCCGCCCTAACCCCTCCCCTTTGCCTCAATGTTTACACTGCTTGTCTCCTAAACTGGGACACAGGTGTGAATCCTCACTCAGGCACCCATGGTCTGCTTGCTCTCCTTGCTGCAGGAAAAGCAGCCCTGTACACTTGCCTTCCACATTCCACACTCCTAGTTTTTGAGTTTTGCTTGTTCCTCCAGCCCAGAGGAGACATCCAGGATCATCAATGCCCTCCATGCTCTTCACCAGCCCTGTCTCCCACCCTTGAATGGCCCTTTCCTGTTTGTTTTTATTCCTCTTCTCTATTTTCCCTTCATTCTTCACCAGGCTTTCCACTGGATCCAACGGCCTATGAGGCACAGATCATAGGTCCCAATAGTGAACATATATTGGTTGCTTCCCTCGTATTATTCCTCCCCTCACCCTTTGCCCATTCACGTTTCTGGATTTTTCCTTGAGAAATTTGTCGCTTCCTCCACCATGGGAAGCAGTAGAGCATGGTTATCAAGAGTGCAGGTTCTGGAGTCAGAGTACCTGGGTTCACTCTACCACTTGTCAGCTGTGTGAACTTTGGCAAGCTACTTAATTTATCTGTGCCTCATCAGTAAAACGGAGATACCACTAGTACCTACCTCTGAGGGCTCTTGTGAGGAGAGCTAATCCTAATTAGTATAAGTGCTTTATGTTGGCTACTCTTCTTGCCCACTGGGTGGGGTTGGTGGGATGGACCCCAGCTTCAGGTGTGGGTAGTGATTGGCTTAAGCCAATTAACATAGCCTATGCCTAGCCACAGTGATTGGTTCAGGAGGAAACCAGTATTCATTCAAACACAAGGACATTTGCTGGGGTTTCTGGAAAGAAAGACTTCCTCTTTTTTCAGAAGGACCATTTCTCTCTCACTGATTTGAACAAACCAACAGTAAAAATCCATTTGTGAGATAACCAGGTGTTAAAAAGAAACAACAGGCTCAAAATGGAGTCACTTATGCTAAGCCCCACCAAGACTTAATACCTAACCTAATCGCACTTGCAACCTCTCCCAGAAGTGGAACTTTAAACCAATCGATCTGGAATTTTTTGATCAACACTAGTGAGGTAATCTGCCTGATAAGACTCCCTGCCTTTCCCCCTAAGGGAAGGTGACCTTGCCTGAAATAATCCGCTCTTTTAACTTCTTTGTCCCGCCCTCTTTCTGCCTATAAAAATCTTCCATTTCATACAACTCCTTGCAGCTCCTGTTTGCTGGATGGGATGCTGCCCAATTTGTGAATTGTTTAATAAAGCCCATTAGATTTAAATTTACTCAGTTGAATCTTTGTTCTTTAACACAGAGAAACAAATCTCAGGTATTAAATGATATTAAGGAATTATTAATGTTGTTAGGAGTGATAATGGTATTGTTGTCTTATAAAAAACAAATGTTTTCATTTAGATGCACATATTAAAGTACTTACAGGTGAATGTATGATGTCTGGAATTTCCTTTAGGATATCCCACGCCACCCCCAAAAAAGTGTCATGGGGTGTGGGGGATCAGAATTGGCCACCTCAAAATATGTCTCTTTACCTTTATTATTTTCTCTGAAAGAAATGTTGACCTCCCCCATCTCGCACTAACTGTCTAAAAGGACTTATGATAGAAGGCCTGTCCCCAGGACCGGCCATCACCATGGATAACGCTGGGTATGGATAGACTGGGAGGGTCATTGCTAAGCCCATTCTTATCAAAGCTCTGAAAACCAAGTAAAAGTAGAAGTTATCCTTTGTAAGAGACATTTACATTGGTAAGGGAAATCTCCATTTATAAAGGTATCTCCCTCTCTGTACTGGGAAGAAGGAGTGATGACCTTATCTCTAGAAACTTTTATCAACGCGAAAGCCGAGGACTTAAATCTGCATACTCTTGTTTACTGTGCTTTTCTGGTAATCTCCCATAGCTGACTCCCCCCACCCTGAACATCCTCCTTTGTCTTTACCTGAATATGCTATTTATGATGAGAACCTCCACCATTTGTCAAGTTTCTCAGTTTCCCTGGTCTCTCCCATGTATACATGTTATAAAGCTTTTTTTGATTTTCTCCTGCTATTCGGTCCCATGTCAATTTCATTTGTAGCCCAGCCAGAAAGGACCCAGAGTGGGTAGAGGATAGTCGTCGTCCCCTACAGGGGAAATAGGTGAAGCAATATGGACAAAATGATAACCATCTTAAAGCTGGATGACAGGTAAATACATGGGGATTCACAATACTATTAGTCTACTTTTGTCTATTTGGAAATTTCCATAATAAAGAGGTTTTTTTTTTTTAAAGTCTACTTGCTATGGAAGGAAAGGGCATTCTCATCACAGCATGCCTTTTGGATGCTTTAGAACTGGAACCAGTAAGATGACTTCTTGGGTCAGTTGGCTGAAAGATTAGGCACATCAGCGTGCCTCTTCTTGGTGACCTTCTGCACGTGAGGCAAGAAGCAGATCACCTGGGGCTGCAGCATAGGAGAGCAAGGGGGCCAAGAGAGAGAAGAGCTATGATTTTAGGTAGAGGGTGTATTAAGGCTTGGTGTTCCTGCATCTATATATCAGATTAAATGAAGTCTTATACTACTTCTGGACTTACTCTATAGTGGAGCTCAGCATCTGTGTAATTTAAGTCTCTCCTGTCACTTCTTAGATGATAAAATGTGAGAACTGGAAGAAACTTGAGAAAATACTCAACTGAATCATCTTATTTTGCACCCAGATGTAATATTATAAGAAGGTTATGGGTGGGTGGGTAGGATGAGATACTACTCAGTAAACTAGAAGGTTGGCTTCCCCACTCTGTTCCATCTCTCCCTTGCTACTCTGAGAAAATTAAAAAGGCAATAAGATGAGTGTACAGTCTTTATTTTCTCTAAAAATTGACATAAGGAGAACTCTTTAGAAAAAGAAACCATCTACATGTTTGAAAATGAGAAGGTCTAAGCTCACATAGTATATGTCAATTATATCTCAACAAAGCTAGAAAAAAAATTTTTTTTAATTTTTAAAAAAGAATTGGAAAAAGAAAATGCGAAGGTCCGGCTTCACACAGTAGCTCCAGGATGCTCAGCAGAAGGAACCAAAGTTGGCCAAGGTTAAGCCAAGAATCCTGAGTTGGTCCAGACTTTAGAGCAGTGACTAGCATTTCACAGAGGAAAGAGATCAGTCGAGAGTTTCAGTCTATAGTCTCTGAAAATATGTAATGCTGATGTTGCTGTCTCCTCAGCTGAGCATGCTGGCTGGCATTTCTGGTATTGTTGAGGAAATTGACCCAATTTCCCAGGCTCTTCTGCCATCCCAATGCCCAGCCTGGCATCTGCCCAGTCCTCCTGGCCCTAGTGGGCAGCCGACTCTGCAAGTCTTGGAGAAGAATGCTAAGAGTGACTGTCTCATGCCATGAGCCAGCCTCACCAGAGGGTTGGGTGTGTAAAGATTTCTAGAAGGGTCAAGAGAACCAGAGCAGGGCAGGATTTGCAACAGCAGTCAGCCAGGAGAACACTCTTTCAGGGTGGGCCTTCTTCTTCGTCTGCTTTCTTTATGGTGTGGACTGGGCCTGATAAAGCTATGGCTCTTCCACCAGCTCTACTCCCACTGGATCCCTAGAAGCTCACAGCTGACATTCCACAAACGCTCAGCTGTTTTGTTATTTCGGGCGCTTGGAGACACCCAGGTCCTCTTGCAGTCACTGGAGGGCAGAGAAAGAGTGTGAACATCCAGGAGTGAAAATTGGCAGTCTGGAAAAGTTTATGGGCTCTTTCTCAGAATAGATTTCTAAATGTATAAAATACGTTGGATGAAAAAAACTAATTGTATTGAAATGCATTTTTAAAATATTTTAAGAACAAATTCATGATATAGTAATTCATATGCTTCTTTATTAATGTTTTCTATAACAAGGGCTAGCACTGGGTCTAATAACCACTGGATTTCAAAGTAGTGGCAAGCAGAAGTGACATTCTGAGATATCTGCAACAACGAAATGTGACAAGAAAATATTTATAGTTTTATTGGTGACAAAGTCACAGGTATCACAACTACTCCTGCAGTTCATTGTCTACAGTCATAATCGAAGGAAATGCCAAATTTCACATGGAGATCACTGAAATTAAAGACGAAATAATCTTCCCATCTAAGTTCACAGACCCCTTGAATTCTATCCACAGACCCACCTGTGCCCCATGAACCCTAGACTAAGCACCCCTGTTTTCTTTTGTTTTGGGGGCAGCAGAGGCTTGGGGGCTAGATGGATGAGGGGGTATGGGCAGAACACAGTGCTCATGGTGTTTTTCTTTTTTTATTGTGAGGAAGATCAGCCCTGAGCTAACATCTAATGCCAATCCTCCTCTTTTTTCTGAGGAAGACTGGCCCTGAGCTAACATTCATGCCCATCTTCCTCTACTTTATATGGGACGCCACCACAGCATGGCTCGACAAGCAGTGCATTGGTGCGCGCCCTGGATCCGAACCGGTGAACCCCGGGCCACCGCAGCGGAGAGTGCTCACTTAACCGCTTGTGCCACTGGGCCGGCCCCGTGTTTTTCTTTAAGTAGTATTTTTTTCTAATTATAAAAGTCCTGTACAACACTTGGAAAATGCAGTACTGTCAAAAAGGAAAGTCTATTATTTAATTACTTTTCCTTACACTCTTGTGTGCTTTGTGTAAAAATAGATGTATAGTCTTTCTCTCTTTCTTTTATACAAAACTGGGATCATACTTTATCTAGTTTGGGGAGGATATCTTTCTTTTGTTAAAAATGTATATTTTAGGGGCCAGCCCTATGGCCTAGTGGTTAAGTTCGCCGCACACTGCTTTGGCAGCCCGGGTTCGGTTCCTGGGCGCAGACCTACACCACTCATCGGTGGCCATGCTGTGGCGGTGACCCACATACAAAATAGGGGAAGATTGGCACAGATATTGGCTCAGGGCGAATCTTTCTCAGCAAAAAAAAAACCCAAAAAACGTATATTTTAGTTGTATATGTAATAAATAAATATATGATCTTCAAATTTTTTTAAATAATAAAGAAATACCTTGGGTAAAAGGTTAAAATCCTCCTTCACACTCCCCCTGACTCTTCCTCAAACTCCCTGGAAGTGACTACGACTTATGGTTTGCTGTGTATCCTTCCAGACTGTTTTCTATGTATTTACAATGAATAATTATATAGTTCTATATTGTTTTTTTCTCGCAATATTATATCACCAACATTTTCCTGTTAATTAAATATTATTTGAAAATATTTAGTGATTGTCTAATATTTTATCACATATTTAAGGCAGTGATGTTAAACACCCAGACTCTTAGGGTAGCATTGTCTAATAGAAATATGATGCAAACCACAAATGTGAGCCACATATGTAATTCAAAATTTTCTAGTAAAATTTTTAAAGTATACTTTAGGAAGCAAAAGAAATGGGTGAAATTAATTTTAGTAATATATTTTGTTTGACCCAATATAGCCAAATCATTTCAGCACGTAATCAATATAAAAAATTAATAATGAGATATTTTACATTTCTTTTTTCATACTTTGCCTTCAAAATCTGGTGTACATTTTACAGTTACAGCACATATCATTTTGGACTAGCCGTATTTCAATAACCACATACGGCTAGTGGCAACCATATTGAACAGCACAGCTCTAGAGCCAGGTCTACCGCTTATAAGCTATATGACCTTGAGCAAGTTACTTAATTATTCTGTGCCTCAGTTTTCTCATCTGTCAAATGGGGATAACAATATTATTTACATCTTACTATCTTATTATCTATCTTATGATGATTAGATGAATTAATACATGTAAAACACTTAAAGAGTGCCAAACACTTTGTAAGAGCTTGAGCAACATTAGCTATTATCATTTATTCATTCCCCTGTGGTTTGACAGTGAGGTAATTCCCAATGCTTCACTTAATAAACCGTGCACCAATGAACAGCCTTAAGCAAAGAGGGACAGAAGACCAGACCGGGCTGGATCAAGTCATGGAATGGAAAGGAGATTTAATCCTGAGCTTCTCTTTACTCCCAAACTCAGATTGCCCATTGAGTTTGTGATAAGACTCAACACTGAACTGTCTATCTCTATCTTCCAACAGCTAGTGCCAGTCCTGCAGCACTGGGAGACAGAGTTCACACGGAGAGAGGTGATCTTGCCCCGGTGCGTTGCGTTAAGTGGTATTATAGGATTCATGAAAGAAGTCAGCCAAAAGCTTCAAGGAGGAGCAAAAGGACCCAGAGGCTCTGTTAATATTCTTTCCAAGGCATAACTGACAGGCACAGTATTCTCTAACAGCTCTCAGAAAGCTACAAACCTCACCTGGAAACGAGGCACGCAGGTATATAAAAGCAACTCTTGCCAAGTGTCTAATGTAAGTTCCCTTGGAAAAGTACTAACAGCATTTGGTTTCCAGGCCCAACCCAAACCTGGGTTCCACTATCAGGCACGAACTTGGCCACTCGGGGTCCCAGGGAGCCCTGTGCCTCACCAGGCACACAGCTGGTGGAGAGAACCTGCACTGCCTGCACGCACCTGAAGTACTTGCCACTCAGAGGCTCCAGGCCCTCAGCCAGGGCACAGTGCAGGCTGGTCTGTGCCCCCTCCCGCGCGGACTTGAGGAAGTGGGAGAAGAGCCGCCAGAGCAGGCAGAGCAGGAAGGAGTGCCGGACCAGCTCAGAGCGGACGATGCCTGGGTGCACTGCGTAGGTGGTGACCCCCGTGCCTAGGGCAAAGAGAGCACAGTTAGACCAGGGACACACTGCAAGCCTGGGGAAACAGCTCATCTCCTGCAGCAAAATGCACAAGTGAGAAGAAGGGACTCAGGAAATGGAACCTGGGCTTCCGAAGGTGACACTCTTAGCCAGGTAGAATCTGACTAGTAAGTCATAGATGTCTTCCGGAAAGATCTACAGCCTTCCAACTTTCTATGCTCCAAAAGGAGTGCTTGCTTGAAGGTCCGTCTATTTCAATGTCAACTTTACTCTCTGGCTTAAGTATTAATGATAGAAACAACAATATGTAGTAGTAGTCGTAGTATCAATTACTGAGGGTGGTATCTTTGGAATTACTATAGGGGGTGCTTAGGGGAAGAACCTGGTTGGAAGGTAGTAGGCTGGGACCTTGTTTTGAGCTGCATTTGCCAGGCAAGCACATTTTATGAGTTGTAGATTGAGCGGTGCTGGTGGAGATAGTGGGGGTTAACATGCCCCCAAGACACTCTTGGGGCCTCCACTATTTTTAGTACTTATTATGTGCAGGGTCTGTGCTACATGCTTTCCATGCATTATCTCATTTAGTTCTCAAAGAGGCTTGTGAGGTAGGCAATATTAAGATGTCCATTTATAGCTGAGGAAATGGAGCTCTGATCACAGAGAGGTTAAGTAAACTGCCTAAGGTCATACCCAGCAGGCTGCAGGGCCACGATCTGAACTCTGATGTGGAGAAAAGAGCATGGACTCTGGAGCGAGGCTGTCTAGATTTGAATCCTGGCTCAGCTAGGAAACTTGCTTGGTTAAGTTTCTTAATGTATCTGTGCCTATCTCTTCATTTGCAGAGTGGGGTAAAATAATAGCACCTACCTCATAGGAATGTTGTAGTAAATGCATGAAGACATGTATAGTACATGGCGCACACAAATCTCTCAATTATTATTGTCATTATTATTATTTCTTTTAATGATTACCTTATTCTTCTACATTCTATATTCTGTACCATTGTTCCAAAATGCTGGCTTATTCACTGTAGCAAATGGTCCCCCAGATTTGCAGATGTCAAAGCCAGCAGCTCATCGAAAACTCAAAGGGAGCACAGAATCATAGGATTAAGAGCGGTCCCACCTCATTTTACTGCTGAGGGGATGAATTCGGGGGAGGTTAAAGGGGCATGTCCATACGCACATGTGGCTAGTATGTGGTAGAACAAGAACTCAGTCCCAGGGGACTGACATCCAGCCCTCACTCCCTGACTCCAGGCAGTGGCAGCTCTGTAGCTCAGCTCCCTGGGTGAATCTCAGCTAATGGCACACAGAAGAAAGCACCCTGGATTTACAGCAGAGTACCCACGTTCCAGTCCTGACTCCTTCACTTGCCGTATATTCTTGGGCCAGTCACTTCTTTGGACCTCAGTTTGGACCCATAAAATAGTAATAATAACATCTGCTTTGCTTGTTGCAAGAGGTTGTTGTGAAAAATCAAATGAGTTAATAGATTGAGATATGATGTGACATAAATGTAAGGTAACTTATAGATTCCTAACTGTTCAATTTTAAGCTTCCCAAGGGTAAGAACTCTGTTTTTATTCTATTTATAACCTCATTCTCCTTCGTGCACAGAGCTGCCACTGAAATGTGCATGTTTGACATTCTGACTTCAGAATTTCTGTGAATCTCTAATCTGGACTGAAGACTATGCTTTTGCTATCTAAACCCTGGCCCTTTCTCCAGACTTACCTTGGAGCCTCTTGGCCAGCTCACGAGTAAAAAGCACATTGGCCAGCTTGCTGTGGCAATAAGCAAAACCCCGGCTGTAGTGCTTCTCACTCTGGAGGTCGTGGAAGCGAATCTTGCCAGCGTGGTGGACCACCGATGACAGGTTCACCACCCGTGCAGGAGCAGACTCCTTCAGCCGCTCCAGGAGCAAGTAAGTGAGAAGGAAGTGGCCTGCGAGGAGAGCCAGCAGGGGAGATTGAAGAGTGCAGTGGCAGCCCAGACTCAGGGTGTGGGAGCCGATGACAGGACTTCAGCATTAGCTCACTATCTTCTGGATGTGAACAAATTTTGATGCCAATTGTAACTCAGTGTTAAAGGTCTGTCGGTCTGAGTTAGTGGATTCCTCAAGGCAAGGGCAGAGCTAGACGATAGGTAAGGGAATATAGACTTAATCTGTACGTATTTGTACCTCTGCCCTTACCCTAGTCAGGAGAAACGCCACCTGCTGGCTTCCAACCCCCCTCTGGCCATGATCACACAACTGTGGGGCCAGGTACACTCATATACAGAAGGAAGGATGGAATAGTTAGGAAAAATAACATTTGCCTAGGATCAGAGGTCATGTCCCATGGTCTCCTCACTAGAGCCATCACCTTGGACTCTGAACCCCAGACTCTCATACCTCAAGTCCTCAAGAACTGCCTCCTCCATGGACCAATGCTTGGCTTGCTTGGCCCTCAGTTATAGATGTGACCCCTCCAGCCAAACGCAGACTCCGGAACCCCCTACACTTGGCCCTGCTTGGCAAGCCTTGCACTACCTCAGCCCCATCTAAGAAGGACATTATTCTTCCTGATATCTCCCAAGTTTTGAGGTTTCTTAATGGTCTGAGTAGAAGGATCTCACCTTTTTGTACTGGTCAGGAGAGGGATAGTGAACAAAAAACCAATATGTCTAACTTATTGGAATTCTGGGTTCTGTGAGGGCCACTGGAGCTTCTCAGCACTGGTATAGGGTCATTTCTCCACAGAGAACAAGATGGGGTATGCCTTGCTTTTCAGTCACTCAAAGACACTTACCCAGGTGGTTGACTCCCAGGTGGGTTTCAAAGCCATCAGCTGTCTTGGAATATGGACACATCATCACTCCTGCATTGTTGATCAGAATATGGAGCTGCTTTTCCTCTATAGGGCAAAACCAAGGAGACCCTGTAGTTACAAAGGAGTCTGCTAGCTGCCTGTCGCAGTCCTGAGAATTTGCTCCTTGCCTTTGGACGTATCTCGGTGATATTCAGTAACCACTGTCATTAGGTTTATAATTTTAGTTACTGATATCTTCCTGGACACCATTCATTTATTTATCCATTCATGCAGCAAATGTGCACCAAGTAACGACTCTGGGCCAGGCCCACTCTGCTGAGCACTGGGCATACAGTGGTAAAACAAGATAGACACGGTCCCTGTCCCCCATGGATTTCATAGTCCTTGCTAGAAGCTGGTCATTTTCCAAGATGCAGAATTTTGGCAGCAGCACAACCTCATTTTACTGCATGTGGCCACAGAAGGTTGATTTTCAGGATGAAAGAAGAGAGTGGCATCAGGGCCACACCTTGATGCCGAGGTACAAGCCCAGACAGGGAGCTGACACCTCCAACATTCCCACTGCTGAGGCAAAAAGACGATAAGGATCCTGCCAAGCTTGTCCACCTGCCATCCTCTTGCCAATTCCCTGCCCTGCTGGCTGATGTGGCAGAACCTGTCCACTGGGATGGATGATGGTTCTGATGTAAGGCTCAGAGATCGTCCAGGGTGGAGCAGCCACTCTCACACCAAGCGCCTGCTTTTCTAGCTACCCGCCAGGGCCTCACCTGCCAGAAAGCCCTCAGCAAAGGCTCGGATGGATCTGGTATCGGATAGGTCCAGTTTCCGTACCAGCACTTGAGAGTTCTTTGTATCAGCTCGAATTTCACTGGCGGCAGACTCCCCCTTCAGTACATCCCGGCAGGCAATGTATACTCGGGCTCCTGGAGCCAAAACAAAGAGAAGCAATGTGTTTAGATCCTAGACTGAATAACAGTATAGTAAGTGAGCTTGGGACTGGTGGACAGAGCCTCCTCCCAGCCACCCCTAAGCAGTGAGTGGCTATACTGCCCCTTCAGCGTTCTCACAAGTAGTACTGCTCAGTCTCCTTGCTGTGGCTTAATCCCAGGCTGGGAACACTGGTTTTTACACTTTGATATTTAATGTTGCTTAGTATCTCCTTTCAGAACCACTGACTGGACCAATATTACACAGACATCATTGTTTTCCTTACTTTATGTAATAGGGAAGGAGCAGAGAGGGAGGAAGGAAGGGTTGTTTAAAGCCACAGAGTAAGTTGGTGTCAGAGGTGGACTTGAATCCCAGGCTTCTTGAATTCCTTGTTAGAGCCTCCAAGCCCAAGGGGAAGGACAAGGAAATGTGGGCAGAACCTCCAGTGAGAAAGGCAGGAGGCGCTGCCCTGTGGACACGGAAGTGGAAGGACTTGCCTCTGCGAGCGAGCTCTCTGGCCGTCTCCTTGCCGATGCCCGTGTTGGCGCCAGTGATCACCACTACCTTCCCGGGAAGCTGCACATTTGTTCTACAAACCCCACCAGCAAAGAACTTCCTATAGGCAAGGGAAACAAACGCATTCATGCACCATCCTTCCCAATCCCAGACTGAGATCCATAAAATCCATTCAGCCTCAAAGAGGGATTTCTTTCAGTTGTTGTCAGAAGACCTAAAGAAGCTAATCTTGGGCCGGCCCGGTGGCTTAGCGGTTAAGTGCGCACGCTCCGCTACTGGCGGCCCAGGGTTCGGATCCCTGGCGCACACAGACGCACCGCTTCTCCGGCCATGCTGAGGCTGCGTCCCACATACAGCAACTAGAAGGATGTGCAACTATGACATACAACTATCTGCTGGGGCTCTGGGGAAAAAAAAGGAGGAGGATTGGCAATAGATGTTAGCTCAGAGCCGGTCTTCCTCAGCAAAAAGAGGAGGATTAGCACAGATGTTAGCTCAGGGCTGATCTTCCTCACGCAAAAAAGGAGGAGGATTGGCAATAGATGTTAGCTCAGAGCCGGTCTTCCTCAGCAAAAAGAGGAGGATTAGCACAGATGTTAGCTCAGGGCTGATCTTCCTCAAAAAAAAAAAAAAAAAAAGAAAAAAAGAAGCTAATCTTCAGGGGACAACATTTTCCCAGTGGGTAAGGGAGTCTCTGGCTCCCCTGATCAGGTTGGAAGGTCATGTGCCCAGAAGCTACAAATGATCATCTGGACAAACAGATTAAGTGCTCTTTGAGCCAGGGCCAATGGAGACCTTGTTAGACAACAAAGATGTCTAGCTCTTATCTCTAGAGGTTTCCAGAGGACAGCTACCTCTTCTAGCCTGCATTAAAAACATGAGTGGGGCTGGCCTGGTTGCGAAGTGGTTAAGTTCACGGGTTCAGCTTCGGCGGCCCGGGGTTCACCGGTAGGATCCTGGGCACGGACCTAATCGCCACTCATCAAGACATGCTGAGGTGGCATCCCACATAGAAGAGCCACAACTCTACAACTATGATACACAACTATGTACTGGGGCTTTGGTGAGAAAAAAGAAAGAAAAAAAAAAAAGAGGAAGATTGGCAACAGATGTTAGCACAAGGCCAATCTTCCTCACGAAAATAGGGGTGACGAGCATTAGTGGAATCAGTGGTCCTGAGCCCTAGGTCTTCAATAAGCAGCAACGGTGAGTAAGTGATGAACAGTACCTCCAGGGGTCCCGTATACAATACGGCTCTTGGGCTCCTCTCCAGCTTTAGCGAGCCAGCATCTTCAGAGGCTCTGCCATCCTACTGAGAGTTCTCTAGCCATCAGTGCATGGAGAGAAAACCTCCCATGTTCAGACCTCTGTGCAGAGAGCATCCTTTCACATAAAGTTGACTTTACAAGTTCCAAAAAACAGGACGGGAGGGGAGCAGAACTAACATTCCCTGAGCACCATCCGACTTCCAGGCACTAGACTAGCACTTTCCACAGGGAATTTATTTTAATCCTCTCAGCCATTCTGTTACATCTTCCATATTACAGTGGAGAAAGCTGAGGCTCAAAGATGTTCAAGTCACTTGCTAATGGTGGTAAAAATGGAATTTGAACCCAGGTGTCTACGCCAGGACCTAGCACAACACTCTGTCCCTAATATGTCCATTTAACCTTCTTTATCATCAGTAATTTTAAAATTCTATACTCAGAACACACATTTCTTTGACATCTCCAGAAATCTCACGGCAAAAGAACCATCCCAAAACACTAGTTGAGGGTAGTCTCGAAGGGAAGAGAGTCTGTTTCCTTCCCCAAATGCCTGGTACTTAACAATGAGTCCCTGGGCAATGACCACCCATGGTAACCCAGCAGGACCACCTTGATAATGAACAGTAAAGAAAGAGAGACCTTCAGAGAAACCCAAGGGAATAGAGTGACAGAGCAAGGACTCCCACCTAAGTTGTCTGTCAACCTACTTAACAGAGTCATCCACTCAGCCTTCCACTAGCATCAGACCTCAAACCAGCCCCTTCTCTCAGCCCCAGGTGCTGCCTTCTCATTTTGCACCATGGTTTCCATAACTACCTCCTTCCTTCCTGCCTTTTCTGCCCTGACTTTCTCTCGCTTGACCTCCATCCCTTTCTCTTCTTTCAGCAGCTAAGAACTCACCTGCTTCCAAGCTCCGTGGCTCCCAATTCAGGGCTTTGTAAAATATCATATGAGTTACTGAATTAAGACAAACCTGATGGATGGAGCTGTCAGATACAGGAAAGAAAGGAAGGAGGTGAGCAGTCCCAAGATAACCAGCATCTTTTCAACTTCTTTAGTTGCTGCTGCTTTAGCAAAAGCAACTTCGACTCCAGCTCTGGCTCAGGCTCCTGGTCTGGCTCCAACTCTTGGCTGCTTCTCGCTTCTTCTCCCTCCTCTAGCTCCTCTCTCTCCAGGGAGCTCAGCAACAGCCTAGCTGTAAGCATAGCCCAGAATCCTATTTAAATCCGAGAGCTGTCAGAGCACAGCCTGCTGGGAGATGTAGTCCTGGGGGAGGAGGACGGGAGAAAGAGAAGAACCTCACACTTACTGGCAAAGAGAATGAGAGGAAATGGAAAAACTGCCCCCAACTCTCCCACCCTCAATTATTGCTTATCTAGAGAATGTGTTCCCCCATCCCACCCCCCCCACCTCTCCTCATGCAGGATAGAATATTTTTAACTTTAGCAAAAGACACCATGATACTTGAAATACTTGTGTAATTAAAATAGACTAGGAAGAAACCCCTAGAAGAATGGTGAGAGAAGCCAGGAGGGTGGTTTCCTTTGGTGGGGAAGGGTAGAGACTGGGAGGGGGCATGTTGGAAATCCTGGGGGGCTGGTGGTGTTCTGTTCTTTGAGGTGGGTGCTGGTTACACAGGTATGCTCACTTTGTGAAAATTCATTGAGTCATCCACTTGATTTGTGCACATTTCAGAGTTTAATGTTACACTTCAACGAAGATAACACACACATGTACGTGCCAAGGAAACAGTACAGTGTCTCCATGCATGGGCTATAGAGTGGACTTCCTGGTTCAAATCCCAGGGGATCTACTTACAAGCTCCATGGTCTTGGGCAAGTTACTAAACCTTTCTGTTGACTCAGTTTCCTCACTTGTACAATGGGCGTGATAAAAATATAGACCTACTTGTTTTGAGTATTAAATTAATTAATTAGGTAGAAAATTTGAGACAGAAACTAGCACATAGTAAACACTGCATGAGAGTTAGCTGTTATGATTAGCTGTATTGATTCCTCTCTCCCTCGCTATCTGACTTGCTTTACTCGAGGGTTTGGTGTAGAAAAGAGAGAGGTAATGAATGAGGGTGACGTTTCAGTTGAATGCTATTAAAGATGAGGGAAATACAAGAAAAAAAGCTAGCAGAAACTCTCAGAGCCCTCTGGAGGTGTGTGAGGGGATGGGAGGAGGATAAGTAGAGTTCACAGCCCTTGCTCACTGAGCATTTCTCTTCTGGAGAGGACGACGGGCACGAAATCAAGACAGGACCCCAAGAGTCATGGCTCAATTCTGCTCCTTCCTGTAAAGCTAGAGGGGGCTCCAAGAAGACATGTGTGATGAAAGAAGACTCTTGTGGGAGGCAGGTGCTCACTCCCTCATTCATTGACTCATCCATTCTTTAAGGTATACCTCCTGAGAACTTCTTGGTGCTAGGCATTGTGCCAAGTACTCCAAAGACACAGTTCCTGCCCCTTCGGAATCTCATGGACCTGATGAACAGAACAAGGAGTGATCAGATAATTCCCAAGGGGAATCTCTCTTGACTCCAAGGTTGTTTCTCCCATCTCTTCCCACTTCTCTAGCTCTGGCTTCAGTTTACTGCAGCGATGTCACTGCAGAGACCTCAAAGGACCAGAAGCCCCTGAGGAGATCTTGCTACTGGTGCTCCCCAATGTCTGTCTCCTAGAAGTTGATGTCCACTGGGCCAACATGGCCCTGCTGATTGGACAGAGTCTTTTTCCCTCATGCCTAGTGACACCGGGCCTGCAACACCACATAGATTATATGTGAAAACAAGATCTGCGGGTGTTTTATGCTTAGAGTCCTCCCCACCCCATGTAATCAGGGCTCAGGTCAGCCAGAGATACAGACACAATGTCATACCATGCAAGGGAAAGTACATTTAATAACCTCAAATCTGGGTGTCTTTCTACTAATGTCTCTGGGCTCCCCATTGCTACCGAATCAAAACCAAGATCCCCTGCATTTGTGGAGATGATACTCAACTTATCTTGAGTTTGTCTGGGAGGCAGAGAGCCCTAAAGAAAACCATGTAGGGCTCTGGAGCAGCAAAGAGAAGATATTATAAGGAACATAAGGCATCTATAATTATGGAAATACACAAATAGTTTGCTAAAAACATGTTAAATATTATAATACAAAGACCACCATCAGGTGATTGATTAGTCCTACCAAATGTGAAACTATGTTACAGAGCTATGATAATTTAAATAGTGTGGTATAGGAAGGTGAATAGACAGACAAATCAATAGAACAGAATGGAAAGCCAAGAAATAGACCCAAATACATATGGAAATTTAGATATGATAAAAACACTACTTCAAATCAGTGTGGGAGTTGGGAAGATGGATTATTCAATAAGGTATTATAATACCTAGGTATCCAGTTGAGAAAAAGTAAACTTGCTTCTTACCTTACTCTTTATGCCAAAATTTCAAATAGATCAAAGATACAAATATGAAAAATGGAACCATTAAAGTATTAAGAAGAACCATTAGACAAATTTTAAAATAATTTTAGAGTGGTAAGAACTTTCTAATAAGATAGGAAACCCAGAAATTGAAAAAAAAAAGTACAAAAAAAATCTTCATGACAAAAACCACCACACACAAGGCAAGACAAAAGAGAAACTTGGGGGAAATGTTCACTATATGTACTGTAGACTAGAGGCTAATATTTAGTATATAAAGAACTGTTACAAATCACTAAGAAAAAGAATAAACAACCCAACTGAAATAACAATTTACAGAAAAGGAAATACAAGTGGCTCTTCAACCTCACTCATAATAAGAGATGCAAATTAAAATTGCAGTGGGAGCCACTTTTCAGTTATCAGATTGGGAAAGATCAAAAAGATTATAACATGGTCCACTGATGACTGTGAAGAAATAATGATACACTGCTGGTGGGAAAGTTGATGGTTACAGCCTCCAGAGAGAAGTGTGGTAACATTTAACAAAGCAAATTATGTACCCTTTGACCTAGACATTCCATTTCATGTATTTATAAGGCTGTCATTGCAGCATTGTGTGTAATAGCAAAAGTTTGGAAACCTTCTAAATGTCCATCAATAGTACAGCCATGCAATGGATACTATACAGCTGTAAAAAAGAATAAATACTTTTTTTAACATATTGATATGGAACAATCTTTGAGACATATTAGGGGAAAAGCAAGGAGCAAAAGAGTGTTTATAATATGCTACCATTTGTTTAAAAAAAGGAGGGAGTATATGGATATATTTGTTCGTACTGTAGTCCCCTTTATCCGCAGTTTCACTTTCCACGGTTTCACTTAAACATGGTCAACTGTGGTCTGAAAATATTAAATAGAAAATTCCAGAAATAAACAATTCATAAGTTTTAACTTGCTCGCTGTTCTGAGGAGCATGATGAAATCTCGCACCATCCCACTCCCTCCCGCCGGTGACGTGAATCATCCCTTTGTCCAGTGTATCCATGCTGTATAAATTACCCACTCCGCCACGTTAGTCACTTAATAGCGAATTCATTTATCAGATTGACTGCAGTGGTATCGCAGTGCTTGTGTTCAAGTAATCGTTATTTTACTTAATAATGGCCCCACAGCGCATGAGTAGTGATGCTGGCAATTTGGGTATGCCAAAGGGAAGCCATAAAGTGCTTCCTTTAAGTGAAAAGGTGAAAGTTTTCCACTTAATAAGGAAAGAAAAAAAATCATATGCTGAGGCTGCTATGATATACAGTAAGAATTAATTTTCTATCCATGAAATTGTGAAGAAGGAAAAAGAAATTCACGCTAGTTTTGCTGTTGCATCTCAAATATGTATATACAGGAGAAAACATAGTATATATCAAGTTCGCTACTATCTGCAGTTTCAGGCATCCACTGGGGGTCTTGGAACATATGTCATGCAGATGGGGGGGGTATATCGTATATGCATGGACGATCTCAGAAAAGATATCAAAAAATGGACAACAATGGTTGCCTCTAGGAGGCGGGGGGAACAGGAAGAGGCGGAGGAGGCAAAAGGAGTACTTTTCACTGAATGTACTCTTTTGTACCTTGTGAACTTATAACCTATGGCTTATTAAAAGTTAAATTAGGGGCCAGCCTGGTGGCATAGTGGTTAAGTTCTGCGCACTCCGCTTTGGTGCCCCTGGTTCATGGGCTCAGATCCCCAGCATGGACCTACACCACTCATCAAGCCATGCTGTAGTGGTGACCCACATACAAAATAGAGGAGGATTGGGACAGATATTAGCTCAGGGCCAATCTTCCTCACGAAAAAAAAAAAAAGTTAAATTAAAGTTTTAAGCAAAAAGACCTAGATCACTTTGAAACAACTAACTTGTTTATTTTTGTTAAATTAATTATTGCAATATCACAAAACAAAGCTATTTCTCAAACTGGTATCGAGACATTCTTAAACCTGTGCTGCCACATGAGCAAAGCCATCATCATGACCTACTTCATTACTGTAATTGACACCAAAAGGACCACGGACCAATCTGCTACCTGCTTTTTATGGGCTTGCAACCTGAGACAGACATAGATACAGTCATAGAGAGAAAGAGACAAAAACCAGTGCAGGAAAGGACCTGAAATTCAGTGATAAGGAAGCTCTCATCACTTGCAACACCATTGGGAAGGGCCCTCTTCCTGCCACTGGTAAATCACAGGTCAGAAGGGAATGCTGTGAAGAGATCATGTGCTATGAAGCTGGGAAACTGCTCAGGATTTGACCTATGGTCTGAATTCAGGTGGGGTCACACTGCACTGGTCACCTGGTTATCCCTGTCCTGGTTACTCTAGAAAGGATCCTCTTACAAATCAGAGCAGGAGGAAAAACTACAAACCACCATTTCTCTCCCTTCCCTCCCCTAGTTTTAAAATCACAAATTCTGGGAGCTAGACAGACAAGTAGAAGGTCACAAATCCAATCTTCCCCCCACTTCCCTAAAAGGGCTTATGCAGCACCACATAGATATTTCTATATCCAGCCACGAGGAACTTGCTGTCTCTTCCCATGTCCTTACCCCAAACTTTACCAAAATGGAAGCACATTTTTTGTATTTGATTTACCCAATAATAATGATTGTTTCTTTTTCTTGATTTTAAAAGACGAAACAGACCCATTATCTTTCTCAAAAAAAAAAAAAAAAGATTGCTGCCAGTATGTAACTTCTATTGATTTTCCCCCCATGGGTCAGTGACCCT